TCCAGGACAGGCAAACATACACAGAGAAACATATATACAGAAGGACATCCCCCATCACAGGGATGATCACTAATGGAGAGCATGCCTTCCAGCTGGATCTCAAGGAGGCATTTCCTCAACTGAGGTTACTTACTCTCTGATGACTCCAGCTTGTGTCAAGTGGACATGCAAAAGCAGGCATTACTATCTTTTGAGAACGAGAATGTGAGAAGTTTTGTTCATGGTGAAACTGTTGAGAATGTGCAAATCATGTTCTTGATTTGGTTCTATAAACCTAATTCTTCCAACATTACTCACTCAGAACAGTCATCTTAGGGAGAGCAGTTACCGGAACCAGAAACCTTCCTTTTACCATTTTCATTCCATGGATCCTGTGACAGTAGACTGTTTACTTTTTCTTTTTGGATAATTTTTTAATCACCAGCACAATACAAGCCAAAGTTGTGGGAACAGGGTTATAATAGATAATAAAGTCCTTGAGAGTATTTGGTCCATCCATGCCTGGTTCTTTAAAATATCTTTGATATTGTTTTCTCTTTTATTAACATTACTGTAACCAATGTGAATAGCAAATTGTATTGCAGATAGTTTGGGGAGGCCTCATGCATCCATCCACTATTAAATTTTAAATAACTTCGTTCTGGATACAATCAGATGAGAAGTACTTGAAAGTATTGTCATTAAAAATCCATTCCTTAAGTTTTTGTGTGATGTTAAAAATTCACATTTATGACAGGGCAAGACAGTACAAACTCCCCTCCATCTTCTTTTTGCTAGAATTTGACTTCTGATAAAGAACCTTGTGGAAAATTACCCAACTCTAATCTAGGAACCTGAGGTCAAGATGTCCCTGATAATTTAACTTGGCTCCAGTTGAACTGGCTTTGTACAAACATCTGCCTCTACCTGACTGCTTATCTTGGCTTCTGTTAAACTGCCTGCTTGAGCAAAAGCTCTCCCTGCAGCTGCTGAGCAAGATAACTGGTTTTTTCTTTTCTTTTTTTTTTTTTTTCTCCTTTCAATAGCCCTTTGCTCTAAATGCTTGGCGCTACACTTGGTCCTGAATACTTGACTGTAGTCCCAGCCAACTGGAGTAAGGACTTTAAGTTGGTTATAAAGTGTGTCTAAATGGTATCCTCTGGTGAGTTCAGCATAACACATTAAAAGTAGCCACATTGAAGCCACTGCTAAAAATACATTTGTGAAATTTCTCACGCATATGAAAAAGTTGGAAGAGCCAGCAACACACTTCTGTATCCTCATCTAGCTTCAAGATGATTAACAATTTACAATGTTGATCCACTCTTAATGTATACATGGGTATTTGGAGTATGCCACTAAGAATAAGTTTCAGTGCTGGAAGTGGTACTACATGAATGAATCCCAGTAATTGGAAGGCTGAGACAGGAGGATCAGGAGATGGAGAGAAGCCTGTAAGACCCTTGGAAAGCTCAGGCTTCCAGAATCTTAGCCCAGGACCTCGGCCACCCCAATCACCAGGCAGATTCGAGAGCTTGCTGCAAACTGCACGAGGCTTTATTGTAATTTAACGAGCTAACCCCATGTTAGCTCAGTTCTTTCACCCCCCCGCCATGGCAGATGGCTAGAAAAAGACAGCTCCTCGGGCCTCCCAAGAGATCTTATAGGACAGCGTAAGGGGAGTGTGTAGGGGTAGGGACAGGCTCCGGATTGGTGTGCCTCCAGGCTTGGAGGGCTTGCCCTGTGTTGATTGGCCAATTGGTTGTTATGGCCCATAGGCCCTCCCAGGGTAGTTGTGAGGCTCTGCTTGTCATTTCTGTGTACTTGTCCATAAAGCACCCCCAGAGCCATAAAGCATAGCACCACCAGCTAACTTCTGATTGGTTCCTTGCCACGAGGCAGGCATCTGACCTCTAAGAGACCAAGGCAAGTTTATGGCAAGCACGTGTTCGGCTGTTATGGCTGCCGAAAGGGGAGCTGGTCCCTTCAGCCAATCTACATAGTGACTTTGAAAGACCCCGAAGTGGCACTTTCGTAGAGGGAGACCCACACACCCAGGAATCAGCGAGGCCACGAACTGGATGTAAAAAACAAGAGGCTTTATTGGAGACGCGGGTACCCGGGGCGACTTAGCTTTTCTGAGGCCAAGCGCCCCGAGCCAAGGGAAAGGGGTCCTTATATAGGGAAAAAGGCGCAAGCTAGGAGCAGGGATTCTATTTGATGGTTCAAATGAGGCACAGAGCCATTCCAGATCAGCATATTCTCAAGGTCTGGTGTCTGGTACAACAGACTTGATTCCTCCCTCCGCGCCCA